TTCCAGTGAGAGGAGACAGAGGGCTTTCCCCCTCTGCCCTGTGAACCAGTTCCTGACAGGGACCATTTCCAACTGCCCTACTCTTTCTGCTTCTGGGGTAGGATCAGGAAGAACTGCTGTTTCCCAGCCTCTTCGAGCCTCTCTGAAGCCTCGGCTTGTCCACACACCCTGCTCCACCCTGAAGGGCCAGTTTCACTTATTTCAGGAGGCTTTCTGGCCCAAGTCCCCAGGACTGATGTGGGTAACTGTGTCATTGGCATAGCCATGGAGGCCCTGGGCTCCCTGTTGAGCCTGGGGTCAGGAGAGTTGTGGGTGGGTGTACTGGTGGGGCCTGGTCGGGGGCACTGCTCACCAAGCTCCCCATTCTGCCTAGGCAGGTCAGTCACCATCCACGCCCAGCCAAAGTGGGATCATGGCAAAATGGAGAGGCCCCTCAGGTTCTAAGAACATGCCCTGGCTCCTGCGAGGTGAGTCAAGTCCTATTCCTGCCTGGCCTCTGACCAGGAGACAGTAAATGGCAGCAGGGTAGGCAGTACCATTCTCCCCAGGACACCACAGGAGTAGCCACCTGAGTGGGGGGGGCAGGGGCCAGAGGGCCCCTGAGGAGACAGATTTGGGAATGGGGGGGCTCCTTCCTGCCCTATTGGCTCAGGAAGCCACCCACCCTCCCCAGCGAAGACCCACACAGGGTCAGAAGCAGGGTAAATAACCCCAGCTCTGGCTCCCTTCTCCCCAGGAGCTCTGCTATGCCAACATCCACTCCCAGCACCTGCAAATTTGGTCTTCTTTCTCACCTGGGCTGAGAGAGCTACGCCTGGAGACGCAGGCAGGTGTGCAGAGCTGCCAACACTCTGGGAGGCTGAGGAGGACCCATGGCAAAAGGACAGGCAGAGCTGATGGAGGAAAAGCCCTGTCTCCAGCTTGCTTCCATATCCCTTCTTTATCCTGTGCTCCCCTGGGACTTCCCATCCAGTGCACCACAGTGCAGGGTTTTGCTGAGGATACAGCTGGTTCTACAGGATCTCTCTCCAGGCCTGGAAGCTCAAGACTGTGCAAACAGCAACACACAATGAACCAGGTGTGGTAGCAAGCACCTACAATCTCAGCACCCCACATTCCAGACTTATCTCCATTTTAAATTGAACAGACTGAAACAGACAAGGTTAGGCAATTTGCCCCAAGCAGCAGATCTGGAGTTGAACAAGGCCCCTTGTACTTCTTACCCTCTCTGCAGCTAACTTTGTAGGGCAAGTGCTCCACCTACTGGGCATTTATGGAACTGCTCTGCAGCCTCCAGGGCCTCCAGACAGCGCCTGCAGGATAGGGATCTGGCCAGGCTGGGCGCCTCTCCCAAGTCTATGTAGCCAGCCTTGTTGGCTTTGTGAATCCTTTCAGTCTCCTTGATTTCATGCTGTCCTCAAACAGCTCTTCAAGGACAGGCTGGACATAGATAAAGACCCAGTTTCAGATGAGAAAACAGATCCTAAGGAGGTGACTCAATGTTTCAGATGAGGAAACGGCACAGAAGTTGCCCAAGATCCCAAGAAGTCTAGGGTGGAGTTAAAAACACTCCTTGGGCTCCCAATTGGTGGATACCCTTGTGGTGCTGACTGGGTGAACCTGGTACCTCTTCCTCTGCCTGCTCCAACACCAGTGGGAACCCAGCCTGCCACTGTTGCACAAGACACCACGACATGCCTGGGCCTGTAGCCCTAACTGCGATGAGCCAAGACTCTGAGAGGCCTCCCAACAGCTAGTGGAAGAGGCGTGCAGGGTGGCAGTCTTGGCCACAGGAATAAGGTCCTTTCTGTTCCCTGGCCACCCCCCTGACAATACACATTAAGAGAGGAGTTGGAGGTTCTCCATGGTTCCATGGGAGAGAACAGAGTGGGCAACACAGCCCCTCCCCAGATCAATTCCCTAGCCCAGCCATGCAGCACAGAACTAGCAGGGCAACTCTGTGCCTCGCTAGGGCTGAATCTGTCACTGCTGGCCTTGCTCCCACCAGGCTGTGTGTGCCCAAGAGGCGGTCCTGGGAACTTTCTGCCTGGATTCTAGCATGGGCTCAGCACTGAGTAGACACCTGTGGGAGGTGGCCAGCTGCCTGCACAGGTGAGGGACAAAACATCCAATCATGAGCTTGCACAGTGCTCTGGGCTTATCAGCTACAGGACCTGGGGTGTAAGGACTCAGCCCCAAGGCAGAAGACCCCAGCACTCAACCTACTCCAATTCCTAACCTCATGTACAGATGAGGAGATCATGTCCCAAGAACAGGAGAAACAGTCTAGAGCACGTGAAAAATCCACAACAGGGCTCACACCAAGCTCAGCTGCCTACAGCTGGTCTTTACATGAACCGAGGGGTTCATTCTCAGTGGTATGTGGGGAGTTCCAGAACCAGGCAGAACTTTCCTGGCAAGCTCACTGAAGCTCAAACAGAAATGTCATCTTGTCATTGTGGTAAATCTGTCCTTCAAAGTCGGTCTTTGTGCCCAAACAGAACGACACTGTCAGCTGGAGTCTGGGACATCTGTCTGGTACCTGGGGCCCTTGGCAGGTGAAACACCGGCTCACACTACCTCTGCCCAAGGTCTGCTCAGCCTGGTGGGTCTTCCCACCCAGACCACCACCTGTAAGTGGCCACAGTGACCTACATGATGAGCCCCTCTGGGGGCCCATCCCCCACGCCCAGCCATCTAATGGCCTACCTGGAGTGTGTCACTGGAGGGAATAGGCTGTCAGCCCAAAGCCCATCTCTGTCTCTTGCAGGACCCTCCTCCGCTTCCAGTGCCCACCAGGCCCAGGTCCAGGCCCTGTGCGACTCACATAAGGATCCATAGCAAAGACACTTCATTTATAGACATTCAGATTTTTAAAAATAAACATTACTTACAAACTAAAATATTTCACATTAAAAACTGAATTTGTGAATTTTCTTGAAAATATAGAACATCCCAATTCATGATAGGTCCACATTCCTGCCCACCAGGCAGCCAGGATTGGATATGGTGACCCAAGGGGAGAGAGAGCTCTCCCCAACCGCAGTCACCAGAAAGCACAGGCTGTCATTGGAATTACACTTGACCCACATCACTCATGGGCTCCTGCCAACCTCCTAGAGGCTGGAGATATCTTTCATGACCTTGGCCTTAAGCACTAGATTCAGAAAATTTTATACTTAAAAAATTAATGTACGGGCCCACGGGGAACTCAGTGGTAGATGGCAGACCAAGTGGCATTGCCAGTCCTGTGGATAACCCACTACTATTACGGACTATTGGACATTGGGTTATTTTGCTGAATTCAAGTACCTACAATCTTTGGACTGACATCAAGTATGAAAACGTCCTTTAAAGACTTCTCCAAATATAGTTTCTCTAACTGCAATGGAACACCCATCTCTGATAAAACAAAATAAAAAAGGATATGCTGGGAGCCACGGGAGCTATGAAATTGATCAAATATGTGCAGATGGGACTAGGCCTCAGAGCCTAAAGCAAACAAGATATCTCAGTCCTGAGATAAACATCCTGTCTGGATTAAAGCCCCTGCAAGCAGGTTCACAAGCCAGGGTTTCATCCCAGGGCCTGCTGTACTGGCCCTGCCCCTGGGACACACTGACACAGCAACTGAGGCTGGGCGTGGCAGCATGTGCCTGTAATCCCAGCTCTTGGGAGGCTGCAAACAAGCAGATCCCTACGAGTCCGATCTAGTAGTGAGACCCTGAACACCCTGTAGACCCTTCCCTAAAATACAAAAAATAAACATCCTGTCTGGTTAAGGTCAGCTATTAGTCACTAGGTAACCTTGTGTCACGTGTTACTAACTGCAAAAGTATAAAGGACCATTTTGTTGAGAAAAAAAAAATACACACACACACACACACACACGATAGGACATACAGCTACTTTTAGTTCATTAAGAAAGGTTTGTATTGATACTGCGTAGACATACCATGTCTGTATCTTGTCCTCTGAATTACTATGACATTATGCAATGTATTAATTATTGTAACTATCCTAATAACCTGTTTTAAAACTGTTTCATTGTATTTTATTTTCTCATTAAAACGAAAACAAAACAAAAAACAAATAGTTCTTTGTTGTTTTTGAGAAATAAACTGTTACTTACCTGAAAAAGAAAAAAAATCTATGTGGTGCTCTGAAGGAGCTGGGCCCTGCCCAAGCAGCCCCAGTGCCCACAGCAGCCACGGGCGCTGGGAGCCGCAGGCCACCAGGGGGCTGGCTATCAGCCGCGCTTCCCACCTTCCAGGCTCTCGGCTCCCCAGCACTTCCGCGTATCAGAATGGCTTGCACTTGTCCTCCCAGCAGAATCCAAGCTCTTGGAGTCTTGTTTCAGGCTGGGGCTGGTGAGCATATTCAGACTCAGTGGTGAACACGCGGCCACCTCACACAAACTGCACACACAGACACACACAAGCACAAAATCTAAGAAAATTTGGGCTAAGAACTTGAAATGAGAAAGTATGGTCTTTGTGTTAAATGTTAACAAATGCCACATTTGATAGATAAAAATGAAAACATAAACATGGGTTTGTATCAGTGGAGAAAGCCATCGATGCAAGGGTTTTCTCCAACTGGGCATATCTGAGGCTCTGCACTGACAATATTATTGAAACTCACATCAATTTTATAAAATATATTGCATTTATTTTGGAACAGAATACATTAGGAAACAAGTCAATGATGTAGCTTAATTAGAAACTATAATGTACAATTTCAATATTAAATGCAAATTCCAAATTTAAATTCTAAGAAACTTTATGATTATTCTGTTAGAACCATAGTTTAAGGATTTCTAAACTAAGCCAGTGATTAATTCATGACTCCCCAGACTGTGACGCAGACACAACGTACTTCAGGCTGACTTCAGTTATTCAGCAGTTGCTCTTACATTCACTAAAGTTAATTATATTTTCTCCCCGAGCAAAGCCCAAGTCTCTCTCCCGTCCTCAGCAGGCGCAGTGACGTCCCCACACCCGCAGCCCAGCACAGCACTGTCCAGCACAAGACACCACACCCCACAGGGCCACCCTAGCTCATCCCACCTGGCTGCACGTTCGCCCTTGGCCACATAAGGCTTTGGTGAGAAGTTCCCACTTGCTCAGGAGATCCGCTCACCGTTTTCCTTTCCTTTCTGCTGACCAACTGACTTACAGTGATTCTCCAATGTCCTCTTCGTGAGCCGCCATGTCTGTGTCCCATGAGGCTCTTCAGTCCCAAAGCCCTAATATCCAAAGCCTCTTGTTCCGTGACACGAAATGACTCCCACTAGACTAAATTTTTCAAAAAATGATCTTTCTGAAACTTTAAAGAGAAAAACTGACTTGCACTGTGCTATAGAAAAGAGAAACTTTAAAAGATTTGTCCTGGAAGACCTACTAACTTGCAACTTTAATGTCCTGAGAGATAAATATTTTTATCATTACTTTTATTAAAGCACTTTAAAAAGTTCAAGTTAGGTGGTATAACATATCGAATTGTCATTTTACCGTATGAATAAGATGATATTTACATGAAACAGGCTAAAATCTTCTAGGAAGCATTATGATTTAGAATATGCCTTGAGTGCTACTGGTCACCAAAAGTATTTGTGAACAACCACACCGATTGTAAGAAGCCAAAAACTTCTCAGGTGGTAAGAGGATGAGCAAGGATGAAGACCAAGTCTGCCCAATTGGCCAGCTTCTGGAGGCCAGCCCAAGTCTCAGTGGGGCAGTCCCTAAAGTCCTAGGCTGGCCTTAAACTCACCGTGATCCTCCTGCCTCAGTCTCCCAAATGCTGAGATTATAGCTGTGTGCCATGTCAAGATGTGACAAAAATGATTCCTTCATGTTAAGTTCTGTAGGCTACATTTATTCAGAAGACATATTTCTGAAATTTCAAAAAATTTACCTGCACTCTGAATGGACACTACAGAAATGAGAAAAAAGAGTTGTCCTTGAAGACCACTAACCTGTAACTTAAAGGTCAACTGCAGTGTATCAAACCTCAAAAGGAGCTCAGAAGACCTCACCATACCTCCCTGGACTACAGACAATCACTGGGAGCCTTGGGAAGTGCTGGGCGCTTGGAAACTTCACCAAATAATGGCACAGTAGAGCAGGAAATGAAGTGTCTGATGAACTAGGTCCTAGGAACTGAGCACG